CTGCCGAAGCACGCAGCCCAGTTGATAAGTGGATCTGGTCTGTCGCCCCAGTAGCTAACAACTGCTACTCACTAGCCCATCAAGTTTATTGCCGTCGTTGGGAGGCGCGTCCACCGTGCACCAACGGTACAACAATTGGCTCAACTTTGGAAGGCCAGTCAGATGCCACACATCGTACCAAATGTGAAGGTGGCGGCCTGCATGCAATTCAGTTCACTGGCGTTATTCAAATGTCAGCACTTCCAGTGTGAACGACGTTGCCATTATCAAAATCAACACTTCCGTAGGCATGCCGCACTCGGAGCCTTGAGACCGATATTCACTTCGTGTTTGGCGATTTTGGCACATGGATTTGCATGCGTCCATGCTATCGGCTGTAGCATCCTACAATGCGGTGGAACTGATTTGAGCGGCTATGTCGCATGGCACCCAATGATCCCCTGGGAGGCGCGTATGACGGAGGCAGTGTTTGCTCAATCTCCTGTCTCTCATCCAGCTGCTTAAATTCCCCTTCAAAACATGTTTCATGACCGATCAATTTACCAGATCGACACTGACTTGACTTGACACTGCCCTTCATCATTGCAAATGCTCCTCTACAAACACAACCAGTGATGGCACTCAAACCCGAAAGACGCACATGTGGACTCCATCTATCACCATTGTCTACGACGCCATCCCATCTTCTCCAAAGCCTCACATACTCACTGTATTCTTACATATGAACATCAGCGGGGTTATGTCATACCCAGAGAAGACCGAATAGGCTTTTGGTCGTTAGCAGTCATAGTGGTGTGTGCATTGAGAAGAGGGTGATGTTGTGGTCGTCTGTCTGTGTTCGATGCTGACGCAAGAGATGGGGAGTGGCGCTATCTTTAGATGTAAATCAGGCCCGTTGCCACCCCTTAATAGTCATACGACCTTCAGGTTTTGTACTTTCTGGAGGGTGGAGTGCAGCTATGCTTAGGTGTAATTCAAGCCTGTTTCCACCCTTAATGTTCATACGACCTCCAGGTATTGCAGATTCTGGTGGATGGAGTGAAGATATGCTCAGGTAAAAATCAGGCTAGTTTCCACCTTCACGGTCCTACGACCTCCGGGTTGGTGTATTTTTGGAAAGAGTGTTCGCTGCCGAATTTAGAGGTATTACAGGAATAACTGTTTCTTGAGCGTAGAGTTCTGGCAGAAGGCGAAAATTGTAGCAAAGGCTCTTTCGCCGAAAAGTCAGAACGAAACCGAAGGAAGTATATTGCATCACGAAGTGATTTGATTTCACTAGATGTCTGGATTTTTAGTCCATGTGTATGTAAGTAAGGGACCCGTTGTTATATTACCTTGCTGGATTTTGACTGGAGTTCTAGCCTGAAGACGATCGGTGTTGATGAGCATAGAGGTGCCTAGTCCAAGTGTAGAAGACTGAGAAACGTCCGATGGGAAGATGGAATCATTTGAGCATAAGTACGAGGATGGAGGAGAGATGTCATGAGATTTATGAGCATAATGTGCGTGTGTGTGTTTGAGGGGAGTGGAGGACTTACCGTCAAGCTGCATTGCCTATCAGTTAGTGTTGCATTTATGGCAATCCCATCGAATGTAATCAGAACCGAGCGCGACGGATGAAGGAAGAAAGGGAAGGAAGGAAAAAGACGAGGAGGAGCGCGTGCGGTAGGTGCAGCGCATGTCTTCTGCGGAGGAGCAGGAGTAAAAGGA